ACACAGTCACCAAAGACCCCACATTTACTCAACTCACCCGTCATTGTGAATCCACCAACGAACAGTCCTATGTCCCTTCCCCCGACCATGATACTCTCGCTCCGGTCTCCTCCATCGCCAACTCCAGAGTTCTTATTCTTCCACGCGGCCCAGATCCCCACGAACAGAATCAGGAGATAGAAAATTACAATAGCCACGAGACCCTCGGCGTGGATGGTCATCTTCCTGTCGTCCGCCTCTGCCGAGATCAAGTGCTACTGCGCGCAGGCTGGAAACTCATGGAGAGAACTTGGAAACAACAAAGAAAGAAACACATTTTCATGAGGAGTTTTTGTCGCTGATCAGAAATAATGAAAATACAGAAGCCCTATATCATAACACCGTTTTTAAAAATCAAATTGTCTCAAAGTCCAGACTGAGCGTGACCTCAGTGCGTCTGTATTAACATGAATAATCCATATGAAAAGTCACAACATCAGCTTCATGACATTACAATCCACACATTTTATATGTGATAACTAAATTTCTTCCGAGCAACAAGATTTATTTCTTCTCATTTTAATATGGAGAGTGACCACACCTTGTCCATACAGCATACAACTGATGCCCAGTGTTGGAGGAGCCTAAATCAAATTCGAATTTCATGTTTTACGCACAGGTACAATTCACACTTACTGCAAATATCCAGCTGTGACAGTTTAAAGAATCCGTTTTCCCAAAGTTAAATGACCAAATTTTAAATCTTAAAGCTTGCTTGTTTTCTCCAAGTCAAACCTCAAAAATTAAATAGTCTGTAACAATAATTCTACCAAGTGCCGTTTAAGAAAACAACCACCACATTTCAAACCCACATTTCAAATTGGAAAAATAACCAATTTTTGTTTTAAATTAAATTCATTTTAGTTGCCTTCAGTGGTAGAGAACTACACTACTGTCATTGTTAAAGTAAGACAAAGTCCCTGCAACCGACACATGCAGCTAAAAAAATACGGAAAACTGTTCGCTAGTTGAAAATAACGCGACCATGGAAGATGATGTTTGGAAGTGTTCCGTAAAAGCCATGAAAACCACGAACATACCTCACCGTATCCAACTGACGCACATCGTAGAGAACGACGAACAGCCGGAACTCCATCATGTGTCACAACAAAAATACTAAACTAGACTGAAGGGTAGTAATCGAGAAGTTTACATATTATCGGTGTTGCACTTTTTGTCAGGTTTTCAGTACAGTTGGACATGTTTTACGCGCGCTTTGCTGCTTTACAGGTCTCACACTTTACTCTAATTAATGTGCCAATTTACTTCGAATATGCCTTCAAATGATCACACTATCCTCTGTTGCCTGAAACGATTTAAAAATAAAATAAAATGGAGCGAAGTGCTTTTAATTCTCGTAGAGCTACCGTGCGTAAAAGTCCATTAGTGCTTTCCAAAGCGCGAAAACTGCGAACCATTAACGGAAAGATCCTGAAACAGATGCAGATGGAGTTTTTTTTTGGTTGTTGTTGCACGAAGTGCTGCATCGCTATGATCAAACCTGAGGTTTTCGGCTCCCCGTTGCGCTGACACTACGCTTCCAAGAGCCCAGTATTGCATTATTGATCTCCCTTTAAATCATCTGTCACTGTAGTCAAATGCAGTTACATCCCGCCATCCCATATTAGTTCAAGAAAATCATCTCCAAAGCTGGTTATCTTACCTTTCCTGTGGAGAAGCAGGTCTAAAAAGATCACAAGAGGAGGGCCTCCAAAAGATGATTTGTTAAAAAAGTGTGAAAGACAATTTGTTTTTGTAGGTAAATATGAGAGGAGCACTCTGTAATCCTCCTGGACGAGCAGACACAATTCACCTATGTTGTTTTTTAAGTCACAAATGCTCGTCGGCAAGAGACGGGGAGAGAGAGGGACAGCGCGCGGGAGGGGGAGAGGGTGGAGGTGGGTGGAGGGGTGGAGATGAATGGGAGTGGTGGGTTTATTGGGTGCTGTCAGGGTGGGTAGATGGTGGATGAATGTCTTCCAGGGCAGGACGAAAATAGCACCTAATAGAGAGTGGCATGACGCACAGCCTCTCCGGAAAAGCTTTCCAATATCATAATATCATATTGGCAGTGGATGGAACCTTTGCTTTGCCAGGTTACATTTCAGGCCTGATTTACGAGCTCGTGCTGGTCCCCCCGCTCTGCTCCACGAACGAGGCGTCGTATTTATACCGCAAACGCTTGTTGTTTGGCGGTCATGTTGGGTCTGTGCGATTACTTTCTCATTTTATGGCCCACGTTACGCATGCATGTGCGTCTTTTTTTTTTTCTTCCAAGTGCATCCCTCTGCTCTGAAGTTCTTGCATTTGATCGACACCGTGTTCACTTGAATAAATAGTCAATAAGGAAGAAGGAGGCAGCAAACTGAGTCACAGGCAGGGCGACATGAGGGACGATTTAGTTCACCACGTGAGAGGCATCATTTGGATATTTTCTCAAGAGGCGACACATTTGCTGTCACCTCGTTTAACCTGCATTCAAACCACGACTGGAACCAGCAGGAAAGAAAGAAGAACTCCACCTTTTATCAAACTACTCGCCGTGGAGGAGACCAGACCGCTGTCCATGGTGCTGAACCAACACACTGAAAGCATCATTTTGAAAAGCATTTAAACACTCCATAATATGTTTGCTTGGTCAGCATCACTTCTTTAAGGTGAAGAATGATGTTTGTTAAGAGTGTGGAGGACTGTTTCCAAGATCTGTTTCAGTAGTTTGGAGGCCAATTCTGATCCAAAAGATGAATAACACGAGTGCTGCAGTGGAAAATAGAAACCTGCATTGCACATGCATAGATAAAGGACTGTCTGTGATACTAAATAGTTGCATTTTTCAATGAGGGAAGAGACGTAAATGTCATGTTAGGAAGTTCTAGTCAGGCAGTTCCTTCTTTTAAAATGTAAAACCAAATCAAACACAAGTTGTGATTCACAGCAGAGCATTGCTTTATATCTCTACCCGGCCTGGATGGGAGCAAATGTGCTTTACGACATCGTTTATCTCAACATTTGAGCTCTGTGAGGTGAATCTGTGGTCCTGCTCGCAGCTCGTGGTTAAACATAATTTGTCATTTCATTTGGTATCATTTCCAAACAGATTATTCTTCCATCTCATTACACCTTCAGCTTCACTCAGTTTCATACAGTAAATAAAACATTTCTTCAGCAGGCAGCCGTAAATCTTTTACTGGACTCTAAATCGTTTGGTTATATTTTTTCTTCTACAGCCGTAATATAATTTATGTCCTTGACGTAAACAGAGATATCGACGGCTCTGGCGGCTGGAAATAAGATAAGTGACTTGCTTGAATGGTGCACGTCCTCTAATTTAGCGTCTCTGCATGCGGCTGACAGTCCGTCACACAGGGGGCACCTCTAATTGGAAGGTTTTCTAACAAATAAGCCTCAGAAACATTTCCACTGTGTTACAGGTAGTTAGGCGGACAGTCGGCGGAGCCTCAGAGGAGTCGCAAACAGCTCCGTATCTGACGTCAACGAGGCGACGATCACTTTCATTTGAGGTATTTGGCTAACAATATGTCAGAACCATTCAGAAAACAGCGCCGAAATCTTGTGAATAAACAGCAACCGGTGCAACATATCAAACAGTGTAAATGAATACAGGACGGTTGGAACTAAAGGCTTTAGGCTGCATTCACAAAAGAGCTCTGTCGCCATCCAGTGTCCTCCTGAGGCACGTCTCTGCAGAGGGACAGTCAGCCAAGTCTGGTGCATATGGAACGCTTTCCTGAGTGTTAAATGGTTAACAGTCCATTTTAAAACAATGGATTTAAGGCCAAACTGTATCCCCGATCACCTTACTATCATCAAACATTTAACACGGACTGTTTTCATTTCTGATATTTTAGCTTGTCATAGCTGGAAAACACTAATCCTGCTACCAGTGGCTCTGCTCCACTAACAAATCTGAATCAGGGTTTAAAAAGAGTCGATCAACACTGGGACTGCTCAACTCACACACTGAAGTTGAATCAAAGTGATAATTCACGTTATAAATCTCAGTGTTGTGCCTCACCAGCGTACTTATTGTGCAACTGTTTATTTTCTTTGGCATGAGAATGATTTACAGACACAGAATGCGGAAATCTAAAAATGATCTGTTAGTTAAAAGTTACTAAAGTACTTGTATTGCCTTTAAAAAAAAAAAAGGTCAAACCCAACTAGAAATGAGGCGACAACAAGGAAGTGACACGACTGCTGCTTATCCATTAACACGAGTGTTACGACACAGAACGTGGACTTGACTTATGAGGTCCTTCTGTGAGTATTTCCTGTAAAATATCGCCACCCTCTGGTCCTTCAGGGGCATAGCAGCTGGGCAACAGGTTTCTCTCACACACAGGGTAAAGTCTGAGCAGTGTGTCAAATGTCCTTGTGTCTGTTTTTTTTTTGGTAACACAATGCATTAGTCTGTCCTTTTCCATCCATCCATCCATTATCTATACACCGCTTAATCCTCACCAGGGTCATGGGGGGCTGGAGTCTATCCCAGCTGACTCAGGGTGAAGGCAGGTTCACCTGGACAGGTAACCAGTCTATCACAGGGCTACACTTAGAGACAGACAACCAAGCACACTCACATTCACACCTACGGACAATTTACAATCACCAATTAACCTCAGCATGTTTCTGGACTGTGGGAGGAAGCCGGAGAACCCGGAGAGAACCCACGCTGCACGGGGAGAACATGGAGACTCCACGCAGAAAGATCCCGGGTGTCCTCAACCGGTGACCTTCTAGCTACGGTGCTAGCCACTGCTCCACCGTGCAGCCCTGTCTGTTTCTATTTCAATATTTAATTCTGGGTATTTAGAGATGGAAAAATACCCATAAAGATAATAAAAAATACTTTGGCAAATTGCTCAGCTTGCTGCTCTGGTCGGTGCAGCATCTCTTTCACTCATACGCTCACAGTTATTGTGTTAGTATCTGCCCCAGTCTCAGACATAGTTATTGAGCCGATAGCCGTTGCTGGAAAGGGAGCAAAGTGAGGGAGCGTGATTGTCCTTTAGGGCTTCTGGGGGCTTGTAGAGCGGGGCAGGGGGATATATGTTGTTGAAGGGAGGGGGAGGGGACGATGGTTGACTCCTCTGCCTATGCAGGGCGCTCCGTGACCTGTCGGCGCTGCTGCTCCAGCACAGCACCAGGCCGCCAGCCAGGCTGAGGCAGGCCGAGGCGTAGCCGAGGTACACGGCCAGGCCGATCTCGTACTTCAGCCCGCTGGGAAGGAAAGGGTCGTAGAACTCCACGATGACGTCGTTGGTGGTCCAGGACACGGTGATGAGGCAGAGGAGGCCAGCGCAGAGAAAGCAGATCCCCCCACTCAGCACCAGGGGAGATTTGATCAAGGAGTCACGGGCGAAGCGGGTGCACTTCATCCCCATCACCGAGACCAGAGAGGCCAGGACTGAGGTGACACAGGAGAGCACCATGAGCGCCCGGGCAGCCTGACGGGAGAACGGTACAGCACACAAGCACTTCAAACTCAGACTGGATTCTTTATGTAGGATGTAGGCATAAACTGCATTCTGTGCTGTAGCAGGTGTTTGGGATTCAAGCAGTCAGTTAATCTGGTTCATTTATGAGTGAAGTCATTCTATATTATTTACATTATGAGTGAATCCCTTATCCGGAGCTCACTTACATACAAACACCCACATTTAGTGGATAGTTTAAAGGTTACACCAGTAGATCAGATCATATAGTCGTTTACTAAGTCACTGATTTAGTCAAATTTTGCTAGCATTAGAAAAACAAACAGCCCCCCACACGCTACAGACCACATGAAGCTGCAGCAGAACAACTAATTCCCAGAGTGCACGGTATCGATGGAATTCTATAAATTTAGGAATCATTAGACCGTAAAGGAAACTCTCCTGAATTCAGAGTTACTTGAGCTCCTGTCCATCTGCTCCTTCAGAAATTGTGTTCTAAAACTATTTACGTAGCACTGATTTGGGCTGCAGCTAAACAAGTGATCAGTTATTCTCATTCACAGTTAATCTGCTGATTGTTCTTCTGATTACCAGATTAATTCATTTTCTAGAAGTCCAACGAAGAATCTTTTTGTTTGACTTTCATTAACCAAGAGTTCAAATCACGAACGTAACATAGAACAGCAGAAAATCTTTACATTTGAGAAACTGAATTCAGTGAAAGTTTCTGTCATTTTTTCAACTGATATGTTGTCAAACTATATGTTAGTGGCAGGACATGTTTAGTCCTGTTGGTACCTTAGGGTGACTAAACAGCGTACGTGCCGTACCTGCAGGTCCCGCGGCAGCGCCAGCAGAGATCTGTACAGCTCACACTGGTAAATGCCGGTGCTGTGCCAGACGCACTCCATCCACAGGCCCTTCATTTGGGTGGTGGCCGTGATGATGTTGGAGCCCACGTAGGCCGTGCTGCGCCAGTGGGGGAGCACGGTGGCGACGACGGTCCCCGCGAAGCCCAGCAGTCCTAAGAAGAAGCCGAGCAGCTGAACCGCCATGCTGGCCATGATGGGCTCAATCGGACGGACGCTCAAACTGCCAAGTGCAAAGGGAAAGTCTGAAATTACTGTTGATGAAGATGCACAGAAACAGACAAAATCATTTAGACGTCTCCTTCATGGAGCGCATGTCTCTCATCAGGCGCATACACGGGATTCATAAGAAAAAGGAAAAATCAACTGTTTTAAACACACAGAACAAACCACCACATGAAAGAGAAACACATCCAGAACAAAACTACTGACTGTCCCCCAGGCTGGAAAGTGGCTGGATTACTCCTCTTATCTGCACGGTCCCCAGCAGTACAGTATATTCCACTGAGCTTACATCCAGTCACAGAGCCTGAGCCATTCTTCAAGTGTCTCCCGAGAGCGGGCAGAAATAGCTGTGGAAACTTTCAGTATTCTGGCATCAGTCTCTGGTGAGTGGCAGGTGACTGCATGTGTAACTAATGAGAGCAGTGTTCAGCTTCACCTGTTTAACGCTCTCCTCTGGAGGGCAAACCACAGCAGTCTATTTGTTAAGCTCTTCGCCACCCCTCAGGAAAGGAGAGAGAGAGGAAATTAAACATTTACAGAAGCCACCCAAGCTGAGAGGACTGCTATAAGCCACTAACTTTGAAATTTTTCACAGCTCTGCAGGGTATTTGAAAGTGAGGGACTGAAAGGCTTGCTGAAAGAGCTTCTAGCCGCTGGGCCCCCAAACTGTGGCAAGAGGGGCGACTGCTGCTGTAATAATGGGACAAATTATATCATTCTCAGCGTAATCTCTGACCTGAGATCATGTGGCACTCAGTTTTACATTTACAAATGCACTCAGCACAGCGGAAAGTGCACGACTTGTAGCTCTGGGCTACAAATAAACATCCCCCGTCCCTCGTAGTGCGAAAACGAGAAAACCATTTAATCATTTACTTTTGTTCCTACTCGATGTTTTGTACAAAATATTCTCTGGCTGAGAATATCCTGAATAATCAGCGAGCAATTTTCAAAACCATGGCAACCCAAGTATCTGGAAAAACATAATGTGTTAAAGCAACTGACAAATAATACTAATAATAAAAATTGTTTTTTCTTTTTGTGCCCCAAAGATTGAAACGGTCTGACTTTAAATTTAGATTTCAAACAAAAGAATCCGAAATGCACCAATACAGACCCATTGTTGTGACTTCCTGGGAGAACAGAAGCTGTTTATAAAGCCTGATTATTGTTCAGTGTTAGACCTGGCACCGCTGGGACCTCTTAAAACATCAGTTATACAAGCCGCATTGTGCTTACTTAATGATTGACTACACTGAAGGCACAACAAGTAAGAAAGAGGAACAAAGGCGAAGCTGTTGCAAGCATCTTGTCTTGTTTTGTTTTGCCCTGTTTGGTCTCTGATGACCGTGCAAACCACCTCATTGTGAGACAACGGTAACAGCAATATCTGCATTGTTGTAACACTCAGCAAAACATCTTCACATGTGAACACTCACCAGCAGGAGGCCTACAGCGCCATGGTCACAGGTGTCCAGATGGTGTGTTAGTCCTGAGCATTGACTCCACATTGACCAGCTCCTTCTGTTTCTGCTCCTGTTTTAATGAGCGGACAGTTCGTGTGTGTGTGTGTGTGTGTGTGTGTGTGTGTGTGCTGCAGGACTGTCAGTTATGTGACTGGCCAGTTTCAGAAGTCATCATCATCATCATTGGCATTATCCCCGTCAGTGTCAGCAGCATCATGTGAGAGACGACATGACAGACAGTCCCGCTGGTGGCTTGTTGCTCCAGACAGATAAACAGGGTCGATGTCAAATGTGGACCCGGAGGCAGAGCAGAGCCGCTCGGCAGAGACAGACAGAAGAGATATTGTCTTCACTTGGCTGTGCTGGCTTTTTTTTTTTTGCCTCAATAATTCAGCTCTGCATCATCCGATCTGTTGATATCAGACAGAAAATGAAAAGAACGAATGGATGAAAAGATTGTTTGAGCAATTAACTTCCAATGTATAGAGAAGAATTCAGACTCATTAGCTGCAACTAGCAGGCAGTTGAACAGTCACAACATGTGTGGTACGTACTGCACGGCAAAGCCAGGTGAGGTCGTTCAAAGCTGCGGTTTTATCTGCGAATTCCTCCGAGGTCCAGCTTCTTTTCTTTGCAGTTCGTCTCTCTCTCTCTCTCCTTCTGTGTCCCAAGCGTAACCTACCGTGACATCCTGTTGGTATACAAGAGCCTTCTCCCAGCCCTTCCCCTCGGTCCCTCATGCAGCATTCAGTTCTCTCCGAGAGCCCTATAGTGAAGGGATGATCCTCTCCAAGGTCTGCCTGTGGGAGACGCCATTTGAATGTGGAACACTTAATAGTCTTAGTTAAGCAGAATAATCCTGTGATTAGCAGCTGAGCGTAGTTGGGTTGTTGCACACAGGGGCAGAGAGGAAATGTGTGCAGCAAAAGGCCATCCTGTGGAGCAGATTCATGCCTTCAGAGGTCTGACGCTGCACTCTGTTCCTTGAAAACAGTTTATACGCAGATATACGCAACCCTTAAATTAAAACACAAACTACAAACGTCTAAAAGGTCGTTCTGACTGATCAGACTTTAGCTAAGGAGGAGGTTGGCTGCAGCAGGGGCTTAGGTGAGGCCACCAAACTTTAAGAACTAAAGACAAAAGTGACAGATGTCCTGTTCTGACAGCGACAACACATGATTAACACTCATCAGCAAAAACAGCACCACATTCACCTTCTGGCTTTTCACAGCAGGAACGGCACAGGATGAAATAATAACCAAGGCTGGGTGATAAACGTCATCTTTTAGTGAAAACAAACTTCATGGCAGTTCTTGCAAGTAGTAGCATCATCCGTTGGATTTTAAAAATGTAATCTAAACTAAATACTTCAAAAACAAATTTTTAAAATAATACACCTTATACTAAAAAATGAATGCATCTATCGAATTTGAGCTGCA